TGAAGGTCTGGATAGAGATGTTCATATCATGTGCTCTCTCCAGTTGGTATTCCAATGGCTAGGAAGTAATGCTAGAAGACTCAAAGTCAATGAAATCATGCACCTTATTAGCAGGAAGGGCAACTGCTCGTTGGAATGGCTTGCCAAAAAGCTTCATCATCAATCACAGCCTTTAAACCAAGACTGGAAGCCTTCCAAGAAAGATATCCCCTAGATCATCCACCAGCTAGCAGGTTTGCAAAGCCTCCCTCCCATTATAGAAAATCATTTCCTCCGTTGCAGGATGTGCTGCATGAAATCATCTTGTCTAGGCTATGTCAGATTAATTCATCACAGCCATTCCTTCTGGCTTTAAAAATAATCTATTGGCTTCCTTTTACCTTTGGGAAGGATGTCAAGAGATCAGCTAGAGCAGCTCTAAGTGGAACAGGCCTGAGGGTCTCCACTGGGGTCAAGCTGAAGCCAGGTGCAGCCGTGCTGGAGAGAGGAGAGATGAGAAGCTGGGTTGAGAGGAGAAGCTGGTTTCAGCAGAATGAGTTCATGGGGAGCCTCACCCAAACCCTTCCCCTCAGCCCATGCTGGATGAATTTCCTTTCAGGTAGCCCCTAAATAAACACCATGCTTGGGCACGGGGCACACTGGCTGCAGCAAGACATGCTCTCGAGACCCCCTCTGAACCCTAGGGATGGAGGGATGGATGGAGGGAGGGAAACAGTCCCTCCTCTTCTCAGAACCTACAGCCACCCACAGTGTGAGGAGACCACTAACCATCTAACACTGCCCAGCCCTGGTCCCTGGGTGCCAAAGGCAAAGCAGAGCCAACAAAGAGCCCGGGCTCAGCTGTGCTCAGACCCAGGGCAGGCTCCTGCCCCTCTGCCCCACGCTCTGCAGAGCTGCAGGCGAGGCTGCTCGTCACTGGGGCTGTAATTAGCTCTGGGATTTATGCTGCAAAGGGCCTTTGTAAAGGTGAGGGCAGCATCATTAAAGAAACCAGCAGGGAGCGGCCAAGGCTGAGATGAATCCCTCCCTGGTTCATCCCTCACAAGGGCACTCCTGCTTTCTCAAAAGCCATCATTAAATGCTGCTGCACATGATATAAATCAAGGAGACAAATGTGTCTGTGCTGGGAGGAAGCCAGCAAAAGGAAAGGGGAGAGAAAAGCTGAATTTCCCTTGTTTTCAGAAGGATCATTCCACGGACTTGGAATATGTTCATTGGGAAAGTAGTTCCAAGATCAATGCTGTCCTTGGGCTGGGAGGTGCATCACCCAGCCAGTGGTTATTCATTCACATGCATTTCTTAGCCATAAAACAAAGTCTTTTACCCTTTACCTCCTAAAAAACTCTACTTTTTTTTGGCAAACCCAATCCTGTCCTGCAGTCAGGCTCCACAGGAGCCGGGGCACTCACCAGCTGCTGCTTCCACAGGACCAGAGTCACTGCTGGGTTTGAAAATTCTTGGAAATTCTTCACCAGGAGAGATGTTTTACAAACCCAAAGGTCAGGAAAGAAAATGACCACATTTCTGGTTATTTCCTTTACCCTGTGTGAGGTTTAGGGGATGCCTGCAGTAAATGATACACAGAATAAACAAGCCAAAGGGAGAGGAAAAGCAGCACGTGAGAAGCAGCAGCAGTGGAAAGGGAGGAACAAGAACACAACAGCCCCAGAGCTCAACCTGTCCCAGCAGATCACTGAACTGCAGGCAACCACAGGAACAACTCAAAGACTCTCAGAGAGGATGGAAGGGCCAGACAGCCCCACCTCACTGCAGAAGCAGCATATGGGGGCTGTGTTCCTCTCTGCTGCCATTCAAGTTCCAGCAGTTAAGGTAATCTAGTTATTCAATTTAGATAAGCCTCAGTAGCTAACAGCCACTTAAACAGCTGCCTGTGCCTCACCAGTCTGTTATTACCTCCTTCTTTCCAAGTGCTAATGCCATTAGCAAATTGACTTCCTCCCTCACACAATCTGTCTGGCTTTAGTACCTACCATACTAATTGCTTCCTAACACTTAGGGCCATCAGCAGGCAGCAGAAGTTTGTAGCACAGAAAACCTCTCCAGCTGGGAACTGGCAGGGTCTGCAGGCAGGGTCTGCCACTGTCTCCTCCAAGTGAGGGGGACAAGCTGGTCAGCTGTGGGAAGAAGTAGTTTAGGCACCATAATACCAATTCAGAGCAGAGTGTGACACTCTTTTTTCTGCATTTCAGCCAGTTATGTTGGAAAGAACAAGGAGCATGACTAAAAAAACATCCACGTTCCAGGAAGAGACAGAAAGAAATGTAGAGATGGGGAGAATATGCCCTTAGGAAGGGTCCTTGCTTCAGCTGCTTTCACTGACCTCCTTGTACCTCTCCCATCCCCTTTTTGTGACCTTTCTTTCCTCAGCTGACTGCTCTCCCTTCCTTCCCCTCCATCCCCAGCAGACCTGCTGATGTAAACACCAGCCAACATCCTCCAGATTGCTGAAAACCTCAAAAATCATACAAGGAAAGTGCCATTTCAAACAGCAGCTCTGGCAGCAAGAGGCCCAGCCTCATCCCTTCTGATAGCTGGAGCCACACTGTCCATCACAGCTCTCCCTCTTGATATAAGCATTAAAAATGATATTAATCTGTCCTGCTCCAGGCATCTGGCTCCCCTCAGAAAAACAAAGAGGGAGGACCCAGTAAAAAGATGAAGGACCCTTTGGGCTCCTGCTCTGACCTCCTCAGCTAAGCAGTGAGAAGATGGATTGTCCTGGACCTTTCATGTAATCTTTGTGCTTCCCTGACCCCCAGCTGCCCACAGGGTACAAGCCTCTGAATTTACATCACAAAGAGGAAGAGGCTCTTCCAGATGGGACAGCTTCTCTTTGTTGATTTTAACCATTAGCTCCCAAAGCAAGCACACAGTCTGCTCCTGCTATTCAGAGGGTTCTTCAGCACAGAGGGGATCCCACAGCCTGCCCCAAACCCAGCAGAGGAGGTGCCACCTCCCACAGCAGGGACAGGGCAGCAGCTCCCTCTCTCCTGTGATGAGCCTCTCTCATTTGCAAAGTTCAATCACCCACTTCTGCACCTTCACCAGGCACAAAGAGCTCTGGAAATGAGGCGTGTGGAACGAGAGGACCCCAGTTTTCATCAGCTCTGTGGAGGTTTGCTTCTATTTCATCCAAAGGGTGGCTGCTCTTTGCACATGCTGGGGTGTTACAGGCACCTGCCACATAGACACCTACAGACAGGAGGGATCAGGAGGCTCCTGAGGAGGCTGGAACATGGGAAGAGAATTTCCTGGGGGTGACAAGAGTTTCACAGGGCAAAAATCGAGGGTTCATTGTATGCAGAGTGTCAAATACAGGCAAAAAGCTGAGCCAAAGTTTTCACTCTGCTTGGAAGAGGCTCACAGTGGGTTATAGAAACAAGTTTTAAGACAAAAGAAGCCAGAGAACCCAATCCAGGTATCATCAGGGCAGATTAACAGGGAACCAACGCAAACCATGGAGCTCATGGTAACTTTTTGTGATCTCACAAGCACACTGGAGGTACAAAGGCATCATGGCATGTCCCATCTCTGCAGCAGAAAGAGCAAGTCATGATGAGCCCTACCTACATGATCCCTTCCCTCAGTTTGGGGAGGTACTGCAGAGCCTGTGGCCAGATAGAACAAAGACACAGAGTCCTTCACTGTCTGTCACAGCTGTCCCCTCCCAGAGAGCTGCCCCAGGCCTCAGGGACACTCATTACCTACCTCACTGTGCATGAAAATTTGCCTCACTACATTTCAGTCTAGTTTGTTGGGGTTTTTTTTATAAGATTCTCTGCAAATAAGATATTTACCTGCATATCCAACTCTTATATATTAAAGCTTTTTTGTTGTTGTTCCAGTAAAAAGAACAGTATGCTTCAGTCTTTCACACTGGAGTCACATCATTATTCTCCCCAGAATTGGGAACTTTAGTTTACAGTGGAAAAAAAAAAAAAGGAAACAGACTTAGTAAATATAGTTGTTTACTGTAAAATAAAGAGACAAAGCAGAAAGAGAATCACTTAATAGGTCCCACTGTGGATTCTGCTCCCAGGGGGGACAACACTCCCCACAGAGCTGCTGCACGTTTATACTTCTTAATCACCAGGAAAACTGAGAGATTCACAAGGACACTGAAATCTTCCCTCCCTCCCCCTTTAAAGACCTGAGGAATGAGCTCAGCTCTGAGTCACTGTTAAAAACACCCAGTGATGTTCCTAAGCAGCAGCACTCAAACTGAGGATCTGCTTGTGCTGCCCAATGCTCCCTGATTCAGTGTTCTACACTACAAAGGGAGCAGGGCGAGCTCCAAGCTGTTGCTTCAAGATATTTGACAGTTTTCCAGGCTCTGGTGGGAGGAGATGAATCTCTCCAGAGAGAGCAGGCAGTGGTGGCCTACCCCTAATCCCCACAGCTACTGAGCCTGGACCCCTTGGAGATGATGGAAAGGACACTAGCCAGTCAGGAAACCCTGTTTGTGAGCCCACCTCCAAAGGGTCCTCACATCCTTGTACCTCTTGCTGGAGAAACACCAGCTACCAAACAGCCACCTGGCTCAGCTCCCATCACCACAGAGTGTCTCAGCAAGGCAGGAGAAAGTCAAGGAAGGAAGACAGGAATAAGGATCACAAGTTATTAGCTGAGTAAAATACCCCAAACACGTAGAGGCAAAATAAAGGCCCAACTGAGGAGCACAGCAGGGTAGTGAGCAGGGAGCTCTGTGTCCTCTATCTCCTGCCTGGACCATTCCAGACCATCCCTTCACACCAGGTGGAGGCAAACTGCCTTGCTCCATCTGGAGCTACCATCTCCACTTCTCCATTAAGACTCCAGCTCTTGGTTCTGCAGTCCTGTACTAACTCCTCAGACTCTGAAGCTTAAGAAAATCCTTGGTAACAAACTGTGTCAATCAGGGAAAAAAAAACCAACCCAGAAACATTGCCATGAAATACTGCATCAGTACTACCAGAGACAAGAAACTCTTAAATCTCAGTTCATAACTCTGCAGCTTTCCTCCTCAAAATCTTCCAGGAGCAGAGAGCCATGCTTATCAGGACAATTGCCATCCCTGCACATCCAATTCCCAACAAGCTGCCCTGAGCCAGTCCCCCTTGCCGAAAGTGCTGCTGCTGGTGCACTTCTCCACGAGTGGGATTTTCTGTCTTCCCCTCCTGCTCTTTGGCTGCTAACTTCTGTTCCCAAGTCAAGGACCTTTCAAAGTCCAGGTCTGCTAAGTCTTTCTGGATGACTCTGATCCCAAAGTAGATCCTCTCGACGACTTTGGCTGTCCTGGACAGGCGCACATCACACCTGTAGGTGCCTGCATTGGCCTCCCCAGCAGGGGAGAACCTGAGAACAGCACTGGGGTTTTGGAAGGGTTTGAAGAGCAGATCATTCGTGGTGATGAGGCCTGGGGCAAGCTTCCACGTGTAGCTATAGGCTCCACTCCCAAAGCTGAGCGTGTCCGAGGCCAGGCAGCTGAGCTGGAAGGGTTCACCTGCAGGGATGGTGAAGTGGAGCAAGCCACAGGTCCAGCTGGCCAGGCAGTGGGACCTGTGCATGGTGCAGTTGCTCCTCTCCCCCGTGGAGCTGAGCTCACAGATCTCCTCCAGCCTGACGCCCACCCCGCAGGTGACGCTGCAGGAGGTGGCGTTGATGGGCACCTTCACCACAGCCGACTTCAGCTCTGGGGGGATGGTGAATGCTGTGTGGGAAAGCGCCAGGGGGAGGCAGGAAGCACAAAGAAATAGCCCGAGGATGTGGCTGTTCCTCAAGATCTTCATGGTGGGGTTAGCAGTGGTCTTCATGGTGGGGTTCTCAGTCAGACACGCCGCTTTCCAAAGCCACGCAAATGCAGGAGTCAAAAAAACCCACAAAATCCTTCCTTGTAACTCTTCAAACTTAGTATTTCTGAAATCCTACCAGCATCATCTTCAAGACCTAATCCTTCTGTTAGGAAGGATCCTCCAACGAGACAGGCTTGAAGTGCAACACTTCTAAAGAAGATGCAAGACATTACCCTGTCAGAATGTGAGCTGTGAATTCCAGTTCTTGTAGCAAGGCAGTAGAATGTTTTAATCCACAATATTCCAGCAAATGAGACCTATTTGACAGTTTAAAAATGTTAAGTCTTCCCTTCTCTGTAAGATTCCACACAGTATTTCAAAGCAGCTCTGTTCCACGACTCCTCATGCAGCACCTGCAGTTCTGTCTTCATACATGTACCCCAAAAGTACTCCCCAAATTGCCAAGGTCACAGGTGCAAGCTCTAGAGTCTGGTGGCACTGAAACCCAAGGCCATTTGAAGGGTGTTTCACCAATCTCTACACAGGGCTCAGCCACCAGGTCTCCACAACCCCACGTTCCCATGGGAGCAGTGCTGATGTCACAGCCCAGCTGCTCACCTCAGGACATGGCCCCAGACCTTCCAAAGAAGAACTCCCCTAGGTCTGAAGCCAAAGTGAGTCCTTCCAGATGAGGACTCAGCACAAAATCATCCCCTCAGGCTCCTGACATCAGCTGTCACTCAGATGGGACTCAGCACTGGCCCCCCAGCACCACTCACAGCCTGACTCTGTGCTCTGTGTCACAGGCAGCCACCAACTCCAAAACCAGATCCCAACCAAAACCTCCACGTTCAACCCCTGCACCTGTAGAACAGGCACCACTCGTGTGCTGCCACTGCAGCAAAGTGCTGGGAGAGGAGAGATCCCAGTGTAATCCCCTCAGGGCTGGTGTCCCAAAGGAACAACACACTATGAAAAAGGTTCTTCAGGAAAACAAATCGTTTCTGATGGAGTAACTGAACTGTGATGATTCAACAATCAGTGTCTGCTTACCAGCAACTGACTGACACTGCAGAAAGGATTTGGATTGTCATGTTCCTCAACAGCTCTGCTAATGACTATCTGTATTTCTCTTCCTAACACTCTCTGATTTATTAAAATGAAGACTCCTGAAGATCTAATATATGTATCTTCCACATCCAGTCTCCCTGGGGGTGCCCCCAACACTTCACCAGCTCCCCTTCCTCACGTCCCTCTTGGAGTGTCCAGGCTTCACACAGGGGTTTTATTGGACTGGAGTTAACTCCTCTCTCCTGAAAAGAGATCATCAACCAAACACCACACTAAAGAAACCCAAACAACACCTCACCAGCTGCAGCCCATGACCCAGAGTTTGGATGGAAAAGCCAAAAGGTACCCATTGACTTTAGGAAATAAATCAGACCTCTTTATTTACAAACACAAAAACTAACATCACTGCTAGATTCTACCACCAAGCCAGTATCTGACAAATATTGTACAAAACTACAGATACCAAAGAAAAAAAATAAAATAAAGGAAGAAAATAAACCAAGGACATATACACTGTACAGAGAAGTTTCAGCTGAAAGGAAGGCTGGAGTCTAGGGCAAATAATATGCTTTAAAACAACCTAGGGAACCATTGCCTGTGTCTCTGTTAAAGCTTGTGGGGTCAAGATCTGTGGATGTGACTTAACAGCATTCCAGGAGAGATGCAAGTCAACCTACAAGCAGAAAGAACAAAGAAAACTAATACTGTATGCAGGGGGATGGATTTCATTAACCAAAGCAGGCTGCTGGAGCAAAGCCAGAAATGAAAAAAGCAGGTTTAAAAAAAAACCTCCTGATTTAAAACGTCTCCTCTCTTCCCATGGTTGTACCTCATGCAACTCCTGCCACACTTCTGACTTCATAAATCTCTTTATGGCTCCTCTTCCTGGTTTTCAATGTCTGCAGGATACTTTGAAAATTTAAATACGCCCTGATAATCTCCAAAATTGCATCTGGGGAAAAAGTGAAGGTAATTGCTTGGGAATTGTAGAAGTCTGTAAAAAAAGGGGCATTGGGAATAAAAACTGTCTTTCAACAGGCTCTGGTTGGTCTACCAGAGATGTGTCAGGCTGTAGGTATGGGACAGAGAAAATCTCTCTTCCCTTTCCCACCATGAAAATATTACAACCATCTTTAAGGAACAAAAGGTTAAAGCCTGGCTTGGAATGGGCTGTTAGCATTCATTTCTTCCATTCTTGATGCACAAGTGGGAGGAAAAAAAGCCTGAAAAAGCACTGTTTCAGTTCAGAGAAATATTTGCTCTGGTTTTTTTCCCCTAACTGCCAGTACCTACCACCTAAGGAGGAAACCAGTTGCTTCTGGTAGGGCACCTGATGGGGAAGAGACAGAATAAAAAACACTTCCCAGGAGAAATTGCCAACATAGCTTTTCTTATCCCAGGCTAGAGGAGAGCCTATAAACTGAGTATTTTATCTAGAGCTACTTTCACTTGTTCCTTCTCCCACAAACAGAGTCATCTTCATGTCTAATAAAATATCCACAATACGAAGATTCACTCTTTGCAGACTTCAGAGGGTGTCTTGATTCTTCACGTTAGATCTCTATCCACTTGAGATGAAATCAAGCCTGGCACATCAGCAGCAGCAGGGGCTTCACTGAGCATGTCAGCACAGAAGGCATCACACAGAGCTAACAGAAAAGCTGCCAGGGCAGCACTTACAACTCACTGCAACGAAAATTAACAGCAGAGAAAGGGGACTTTGCAGGATACACAGTCAGAGGGCATCAGGAATTAAAACTACACACTCCGGGTAGTCTTCAATCCAGGAACAACAACAGAAAGATTTAAAAGACAGTGGTTGCTAAGCTCTGGAGTGGCAGAGTGTTGGGGACCAGCTTGCTTTAGAAAGAGGGAGAGATGGCAACACAAAATCCAACCAGTCTCTTTGCAAATCCTGTGACCTGAGTCAGCATCTTACACCGTTGGATGAAGAGGTGGGTGAGGAGGAACAAAGGCTCTTTCCTCTTCCATATTCATTTCTTACAAAAGTCACTCCCTGAATCCATGAACAATCAGTCTGCTGTATGAGTCAGTCCACTCTGACCAAGCACTTCAGCTGTTTTCCACATTTTGGTGCCAATACAGGAAAGAATACAGGAAGATAAAGAAGAGTGTCTTCATAGCAATTCTGAGATTGCTCCACCTGCTAAAGAGATCAGAGACAGGTGACAAATAAGTAACCAGACCCAGATGTTACCAGAAACCAGAGACCACCAAATAGGCCAGCATTTCCAGAAAAACAAAAAGGAAAGAGGACAAGATCTTCTAGCTCAAGCCATTCTTTTCAGAGTGACATGCAACCAACAAGATACTATCTGTGGCAAATGAAGATCTCCAGTTCTTCTGTATTTGTATTTGAGATCACGTGCACAGGCATGGACAAGGTGGCTACAGAACTCTTGAGCTTTCACCCCCACAAAGCTGTCAGACTTACCTGGTGCAAAAGGTCTTTTTGATTCATCAATCCCAAAATGTCAGAGCAAAAGTGCAACTGAAAACAAGTCCCACCTAAGCTGGGGTTAAACCAGACTGCTGTAAAATTTTATTCTACAACTATAAAATGGATTGAGCCTCTCAGCTTGTTAATACTGAAACCTGATTTGGACAGAGCAGGTTTAAGAATCAGGCATTTGGTGCTGACTGCAGTGACACAGCCACGCACCTTGCAGGCTGGTGCATCAGCAGTTGGTTTCCAGAGGAGAAATGCTGCTGGTGTGAGTGTTTGAGTGATTAATTAGTTACTTCAGAAAGGAACAGCACAAGGAACTGGCAGAATTAACAGCTTTGTGCACGACAGACAGAACAGGCAGCTCAGCTCCAGGATCCCAGGCAGGCAGCCACGTGGATTGGGAAGTGTGTCTGGTGGAACACCAGCAACCCCAAGAAAAAAATGGGCTGCCCAAAATAGGAATTTAAGTGCAAGCTGTAAAGTGAACAAAGATGGACATGAATGTCATGGGCTAAAAGACTACTGTGAGTTTGGGAAGATCCAAGTGAGAGTTTCTTTCAGTGGACAATCTGTTCTCATAAGGTGACTCACACAGACACTTCCAGCACTGACTACTGAGATCCACTGCATGGACTGAATAAATCCTCCTAAGTCAACAGTGTTGCAGAATAACAGGTCCTAGTGAGAGGCAGAAGTCCATCATAGCAATATTCACAGAATCCCAGCGTGGTGGGGGTTGGAAGGGACCTCTGGAGATCATCTCATCCAACCCCCTGCTCCAGCAGGGTGCCCAGGATCACATCCAGGTGGGTTTGGGATCTCTCCAGAGGAGACTCCACAGCCTCTCTGGGCAGCTGCTCCAGGCTCTGCCACCCTCACATATTCTTTGCCTCTATCTCAAACAAACTAAAGAACATCACCATGGAAAAACACTTTAAAGTGCTTACAGGCAACAAAGACTAAAACTCTTCTATCTACAACAGCTGGTAAAGTCAGTTGGGAAGTTGAGTCTAAACCCATTTATCCATTAAAAAGAAAAAGAACAAAAAAAATCTATTTTACAGTGTCCAAATCCCAAACTAATGGCAGTGGCACAGGCACATCCCAAGCTCAGCAGCAGTAAAGTGCCACTGCTGACTTTTACAGCAAGCCAGACTACATCAGAACTGCACGGGAGCACTATGAGCAAAACCCCTCAGAAATCCTCCCAGATAGGGCTTTGCAAGGATGTGTAAAAAACCAGGAGTCTATCTAGAATGTTGTGTCACATGAAGGATGTTAGAGGAAACCCACTCTGAGTTTTCCCAGCTCTCAGAACAGGCCAGTGAAATAGTGACCACAAGCTGCAAGAAGACAGTACACTGAGATCTGCTGACAACTGTAGATCAAGCACACCAGCCAAACAAGTTACATAAACATACCTTGAAAAAGCTGAACAAAAATACTTGTTATTTAATCTACTTCTCTGAAAACAGATTCCTTAAATGTGAAAAAGCCAAAATATCCAGCATGGGGTTTTTTGAAGCAAAGGACTGAAATCCATTTTGGAAGCCACATTGTGATGTCTCCAGTGCACGATCCCTTCTCACTTACACCCTTTTGCACATGGTCATGCTAATTAGCAGCATGATAAAAGAAAGCAATCAACAGGCCTCCCTGTCTGGTAAAGCCAACATGAGAAGCTAACCAGCACCTCCCAGCCCACAAACAAGGTCTAAGGGTATTCTTGGCTATGAGTTTGATTTCTGGGTTTGGCACGGTGCAAAGGGTTGAATGGAAGCCCAGGAAACAGCCACCATATTTTGCCACAGAAATCCCCATTTATCCCATCCCCTTTTTCTGCAAATAGCCATTATCAGCACTAGAACAAGCCACACAACAGGAGCTGAGCAGGAAGGACAACGAGCAAGGTGGGTAGCACTGGAGCAGCAGTGAGGGAAGGAAGGTGGGGGGAAATAAAAACCACTTCTGTACAGTCTAAAATCCACAGCAGCAGCTGCTGAGTTCAAGGAAATGCAAAATTTAAAGGAGCAATCACATAGTGTCTTTGGAACTGTTTATGTGTCAACCCTGAATTCTTCATTATAATCTATAAAAAAAAATTTCCACATCACTTAATCCAAACATGTGCTTTCTGTACTGTGCTTGGATGAATTTTTCCCAGAGAAGAAGCTGAAGAAGCAAACCAGACAGATGAGAGACATTTAGTGTCTCTGAGACCAAGTCTGGGCCCCCAGAAAGGTGACCATGACAGTCCTGTTTTAGTACACAGCCAAGAAAATATGACCCAAAAAGAAAAAAAGCTAAAATTCCAGCAAAATCTATGCTCATTTACAGCAACTGTACTTTCTGGAATTTAATTAAGGCTGCTGGATAGCTAGGAATAGAAAATTCAGCTCCTGAATTTTATCTCAGAGCCCATTTATCATTGATGCTCCACTTCCTAGCTCTCCTTACAGAACTTTTCTGTTCTTCATCACTTCGCCAAGCGCTGATGACACCAAAACGTTGATTCCTCCTTCACAACCCTTCACTATTGATATTTTTCCCCTTCAAAAACGACCCACCAAACCCAAACATTACTGTTTATGGCAGAGTTGATCAGTTATTGAAAAGATTAAAATTATCAAGAGATGTTTTGCTTTGGAAGCAGTGCTCCATCTCTATTAAAACCCTGCATGCTCTTTCTGTGCCGTAACACAGGCACGGCTGCCAGCTTTCTGACAAATATTGAAAGCATTTCCACTTCAAAAAACATATCCAATTTTGCCTGTCCTTGACAGCAGCTAAACATGGAGTGAGCAAGTGCCATGTGGGGAGGTGAGATGCTATGACTATGAAGTCAGGGTCCATACAAAGCAAGGCCACCAAGCAAGGCAACGACGCTCCCGCTGGGTTCCTTACCTGTCAAAGGCTGTCCCAGCTCCGCCTGCACTTTACCCTTCGCTGCTCCTTCCAGAGGTAAAGCACCTCTGTCCCCTTTGTAGAGTTTCGGTTTAAATGGAGAATCTTTGTCTTTACCTTTTGATCCTTTAGGCCTGCCTGCTTGCTTCTTCTTGGATTTACCATCTCCCTTCACACCCAGCAGCGGATGGACTTCTGCGGAGAGAATTGCCAACAGGAATTAGCCCCTCGGGTGCTTTTCTCAGCACGGTGTTGGTGTTAGATGCAAACAGCAATAAAAATGACAGTTTCAGGACACATTTACCCATGCCCAGCTTGCAAAACACCAGCAAATTTGCAGAGTTGGTGGCTGTTGATAACTGCTCTAAGAAGCGACTTCAAGAGAAAATTAAGGAGCGACCTTCAGAACTTCTGATCTTCAAACAAAGTTCAGGCAAAGCTAAAAACCACCTCAGAGGCCAAACAGACCCTAAACCTATGGCAGCTGCTACACACCGTCGTTGGGTACTCCTTGTAGTTCAATGTTGGTGGTTTTGGGCTTCTTCTTTGGTGCCTGAGGTCCATCACAGGAGGACTGCCTCTTCTTCTCAGAACCCATTCCCTCATCGGTTAGAGAGCTCTGCACTGCATCTGGTGGAGGTCCATAGGGGTTCTCCTCTGGATCTTCAACCTCAGGAGCAATAGGTAGGTAAAGCAGAGCTTTGGAATCCTCCAGTTCCTCATCACTGTGAAGGAAGAAAGAATTGCTGTCCTTTAAAACCAGGGGTTATTATATCTTATTAGACAGAGGAGGTTAGTGACAAATTTTGTCTTTATACTTCAGACAAAACCTTCTCTCACCTGCTACAGAAAGCAGCTATGGGATCCACACTTGTTACATCCACTTCCTCATCTTCTGCAGCATCTGCACCTGAGAAACAAGGAAAAAAAAAGACAAATTAAAGACAGGAAGGAAAAGACCAAACTACTCAGAAAAAATGGGACTGACTGTGCTTAAAAGGCTAAGCAGGCAGAAGAAATTATTAAAGCAGAAAACAAACCTAAAGGGTTTCTTCTTGAATCCATAGAATCATAGAATCATTTAGGTTGGAAGGGACCTCCAAGATCATCAATTTTTATATTCTAATACAGACCTACTGATATAAAACACCAGTAATAAAACTAGATAGAAGATTTTATAACTTACAAGTGTCTTCTTGTTTTGACTAAACTATTTCTAAACCTGATGAAATTGATTTTAAGGTTTAACTCCCACAAGCCAACATTACACTTGAATATTAGAAACTGATAAACCACAATTAATCTAAAGATGAGAAGTGCTGCAAAGCCTGGTCATGGGGAGAGCCCTGTCCAGTGCTGGCAATAATCCTTATTCCTTTCCCTAGTTTACCCGCAGCCTTTCACAGCACACAACTTTTTGGCACCACCCAGTGGCCAGGCTGCACAGCTCCTGATCCCAGCTCAGTGCTGCTGCTGCCAGGAGTGAGTACAAGGACAAGTCTCCCTGCTGCTGCTTTCTGCCAGGTCCCCACTGCCCCGTGTCCCTCACACCACATCTCCACGGCTTGGGAACCCCTCCAGGGGTGGGGACTCCACCACTGCCCTGGGCAGCCTGGCACAGCCCTGGGCAGCCCTCCAGGGCAAGAAATTGTTCCTCAGGGCCAACCTCAACCTCCCCTGGGGCAACTTGAGGCTGTTTCCTCTTGTCCTGTCCCTTGTTCCTTGGGAGCAGAGCCCGACCCCCCCCTGGCTCCAGGCTCCTGTCAGGAGCTGTGCAGAGCCAGAAGGTCTCCCCTGAGCCTCCTTTGCTCCAGGCTCAGCACCCCCAGCTCCCTCAGCCACTCCTCATAAGACTTGTGCTCTAGACCCTAGACATGTATTGGAATGGGGAGGCAGTTCTGAACAAACCACTGTGCATCAATTGGCAGGAATTACATTGATTGTATTAGTTTATGCATCCTCATTTATCCACCCCTGCCCCATCACTTAACACCTCTGCATGTTTCTGTGACTGCTAGTTTCTAATTTTTACTATCATCATGTATTCAGACCTCAAACCATTTGCTACCCAGAAACACGTTTTATGCAGTACCTGTCTGTTCTGGTTCACTCTTATCTTCATCTTCAATGTCAAACTCTGACTCTCTCTCTTCATACTCCACATTTTCATCCAGCTCTTTGAAGTCAGGTGCAAAGGCACTCCAGTTTTCCTAAACCACAAATTCAAGACAATTTTTACCTTATGCAAAGGTAGTGAGGACTCGTGCAACTCCAATCTCATTCTGCATTAAAATCCTCCAACCCACTCAAGACCACACAAAAAAAAAAATAAATCAAGCCTCATTTAGGTCCACAGTCACCCAGCAAATCAGAAACTGCACAAGTTAGTTCCCACAGACAACACAGCATTCTAATATTCATTAACTATTGCAATGCATGTGATTAAAAAAAGCTGTATGTTCACATCCAGCTGCTGCAGTTTTGGCTGGCTCAATCACATTTCCTGTGCTTAAAGACCACATTCAGGGCACCATTCCCATGTAAAATGTCCCTGTGATGATATTTAAGGCTTAAAGCAAAGCTTAACTCATTCAGCACTTGAAGTAGGGAGCACTCCTCAGGTTATTCAAGGTGTCAAACTCACGACAAGTCAGGCAGGGGAACATAAAACGTTTGCTGAATGAGGATTTGATAAAGGATTTCAACAGGCAATCATTCAGTTTATTGGGATGGAGACCATTGGGGAATCCTCTTAAGGAAAGGCTGGAAAACACTTACCACTTGATTCTGAGCCCATATTGACACAACACCACTGGAAATAGAGGCTATGATCGGCCGGACAGGATGCCACTGGATTTAATTGAGGGAGAAAAAAGGGTGAGTTTAATTGGTAAATGGAATTACAGAAGCTTAGCTTTCAAAATAACAAGAACCATAGTAAAAGCGGAGTGTTTTCTTACTGCTACATCCAAGAGCAGCTCTCCCCTGGTCCCGTGGAGGATCTTCACCAGGTTCCCAATGCTCTTCTCCCAGATGTAGAGGGCGTGCTGCCGTGCTGAACCCGCCACGATGTACTCCCCATCCCCAGAGAAGCAGCACTTCTTCCACGGGGTCCTGCACGCCACGACAGCACCACAAGTTACACAGCTCAACAGCAGCACAGCAGGGAAGGGGGAGGCTGTGGAGTGGGTTTATTCTTCACACTGAGATCTCACACACTCCCATGCATAAATAAAACATGCTATGGAATCACGATCGATAGGTTTCAAATGGAAACATTTGATGCTGACAAAGCACTGAAGCACCCTGCAGTCAGAGGTCACAAACCTCTTCTTCACACAGGAGGCTCAGCAGCCCATCCTGCCTCTTACCTGTTGACTAAATCCTGCAGCTTCTGCATGGGTTCAGGCTCCCCATCTCGGCCACACGTGAGGATCTCACGCCCGTCGTACACCCTGATGATCCGGTCAGCTGTGTTGATCAAAAAGCAGCTGCAGAACAAGGCATTGCATGAAAAGACTAAGAAAATTTTAAAAAAATCAGAATATGTTCCATGAAAGAACTGTGGGGAGGTTTTTAAGACCATCTACCTGACAGCTTTCAATTCATCTTTAGAGATGGCACTCAGCAGGGGAACTCACCTTCCCTTCCGAGCAAATTCGATGGATTTGATGGCTGTGGTGTTGCTGGTTCCAGTTGTCACTCTGAAGGAAGCAACAAGATCCTGAGTGTCTGTTTTTAAGACCAAGATCTGAAGATAAAAGAAGAAAGGAGACAATCAGCATCCTCACTGTAACTCACTCCCCTTTTAGCACCTAACATCAGCTACTAACCCTGACAACAGAAGCCTCAGCAATCTACAAATAGTTGGGATTCTGCAACTGTAGTTTTACAGCTCCTGGGATAGTTCTGTGACACAAACATTGGTTTATTTATGCTGGAAAAGGACCCAACAAATAGATTCAAAGACAACAGCAACACCAAGCCCTAACTCAGAGGTCATAGCCTAGGGATCTCCAGAGATACAGCGTGATGCTTTGGTCAGAAGATCACATCCACACAACGTCAGCTGTTCAACAGACTCAGGAAACCTGATCTGTACATCAGAACACAGAACTCAACCCAGAAACGCTGAGGAGCCTGACACAGGGATGAATCTGAGTTACTGCACCCCGTGCTGCCTGCTGGAGCCTCACCTTGCCCTTGGCGTTGCCCGTGTAGATGTACTCCCCTCTCCTGTCAAAGGAGGCCACCACGTTGAGGTCAGAGTCATCATCCACGGGCAGCACGACGTGTTTGGAGTCTGACAGCGTCAGCATCACCGGCGCCGACTTCATGGGACAGACCAGAACTCTGTTCCTGCCCAGCAGAAGAAGAAGGGTTACTGCCTGCTGCTCTGGGAAGGTTTCCATATTTAGAAGCAGGATAAAATCCTCAATCTGTATCAAGAAATACAGATTTTGTTTTTATTCTCTGTGTTTTTATTATCTTGCTTTGTCTTTGTTGGTTTAATCACAAAATGACGTCAACTTGGTGTCTGTTTTCATGGCCTCTGAAGCTTCCCCAAGTTCATGCAGTAACTTGCAAACCCAACGAGATATTTCTACATGCACTTGCAAGAATCATTCCCTTGTTTACTCTCCTCCCATCCTGCTATTTTCATAACAAAACCAGCCACCACAACTCCACTCAGGGCCCTAATCACGAGACAGCACACCAAAATCACCTATTAAACTGGGAAACACTCTGCAAGCTGCTGTAAAAAACATTTTAATTAGTTCTATCAAAACTAGAGTGGTTCTACCAAAATGAGTAGGACTTACTGGTCTCGAGGGTGGTACTGAACCTTGAGGATGGGTGAAGGGAAGCGAAATCTCTGGTCGCAGTCCCCAGAAAGCACATCCCACTGGGACACGATGTTATCGGTGGAGGCACTCACCAGCTTGTGACCATCTCGGCTCCAGCTACAGCAACGAGAGGCAGGGCAAGGAAAAGTCACTCCTTAAAGGCCTCCAACACACCCCCACAGCTTACACTCATTGGATCAAGCTATCAGACTCCGCTGTAAATCTGTTAGTGTGAAAAATAACCTAACAATTGAAAACTTCACGGGTGTAACAGGGCCGTGGAATGGTTTAGGTTGGAAGGGACATGAGATCAAACCTCCTCCCAACTAGATCAGGTTGCTCAAGGCTTTGAACACCTCCAGGGAGGGGCATCCACAACCTCTCTGGGCAATCTAGTCCAGTCTCACCATCCTCACACTGAAGAAATTCTTCCTAAGATCCAGTCTAAATCTACTCTCCTTCAGTTTAAAACCATTTCCCCTTGTCCTGTCACTGACACTCTTGTGACAAGTCCCTCTCCAGCCTCCCTGGAGGTTCCCTTCAGGTGTTGGAGGCAGTTCTAAGGTCCCCCCAGAGTCTTCTCTCCAGGCTGAACAATCTCAGTGCCCTCAGCCTGTCCTCACAGCAGAGATGCTCTAGCCCCAAGATCAACTTTGTGGCCTCCTCTGGACTTGTTCCAACAGCTCTATGTCCCTTTGATGGTGGGGACCCAAGAAGTAGATACAGTCTTTAAGGTGGGGGTCTCACAAGAGCAGAGTAAAAGTGGAGAATCATCTCCCTTGATCTGCTGCCCACACCCCTCTTGCTGCACCCCAGGACACAGTTGGCCTTTGAGGCTGCAGCAGCATCCAGAATTTCTAAATCTCTAAACTCTTATTTCAAAGCCCTGTTGAAGGAAACTCTCCAGGAAGGGGAGCGAGTGTCCTGCAGGGAGCTGGCACCAGGAGCTGTGGGGGCCCCAGCACTCAGCAGGCACAGGCAGGGATGGATTCCAGCCCAAACGAGAGCAGCCTCTGGTACCTGCTGCATCAAAC